GACACTAGCTGGAAATCACTCAGGCCCTTTCTAGATCTAATATGTTATAAACTATTTCAGAATTAGAGTAGAATAGATAGAATATTCTTTCAGATGAGAGACAGCCTTGGAGCCAGGAAGACTTAGGTTCTAGTCCTGCATGCTAGCTTTGTGACCATAGTGAAGTCACTCATCCTTTCCGTGCCCTAGTCAAGTCTATGATAATAATAGTAGCTAGCATTTATATAGTACTCTAAAGTTTGTAGATAAAGAGATCAAAAGCAAGGGTTCTTAACCTGGGATCCTTACATCCCCAAAAGGTTTGTGAATAGGTTTCAAGGGATCCATGAATCTGGATTTGTTTTTTTAAATATATGTAAATATATATATAAAAATAAATATATATATATATATATAAAATTGGTTTCCTTTGTAATCTTACATTTTTTATATTATACACTTAAAATAGTTTGGGGTTTTTTTAGTGTGCTGAAATTTAGAACAGTGACAAAATTGTTCTGTTTGTATCCCCTTCTAAACTTCTTGTTTTCGTTTGTATATTATTCTCCTTGCTATTTTATGCTATTTAAGGAATTGAAATAAAAATTTTCCTTTTTATTATGGACATAACCATCATCAACAAACATATGACTATTTCGTTGTACAAAGGGGGTAAAAAAAAGAAGATTGTATATGAAACAATTTCTTATATGGTTTAGGTTTTTTTAAGTATGATAAAATTTAACGCGGTAACAAAATTTCTTTGTTTTGTGTCCCCTTCAAAGCTTTTTGTTTTCACATGTATATTATTAGTAGTTCATTGGTGCTCTTATTTATCTATCCATCTGTCTATCTATCTATCTATCTATTTGCAGAGTTCTGTCTTTACTTACTGAGGAAGCTAGGTGGCACAGTAGATAGATTGCCAGGCCTTGAATTCTAGAAGATTCATCTTCCTGAATTCAGATCTGGCCTCAGCTGCTTTCTAGCTCTTTGACCCTGGGCAAGTCACTTAATCCTGTTTGCCTCAGTTTCCTCATCTGTAAAATCAGCTGGAGAAAGAAATGGCAAACTACTCTAGTATCTTTGCCAAGAAAACCCTAAATGGGGTCATGAAGAGTTAAAAACAATTAATTGACTAAACAATAATGCTTATAAAAAGATGATAAAGTTATTGAGGGCTTTCTTTGTCGATATGACTGTTGTTGCCCGCAACCAGATTGTACACCGAACGGAGAGGCGTGAAATAACTTGTGACGTGGGCCAGGCGGAGCAGAATTACTGACTCAGTTTATTCATCTGAGGGTACAGGATATATAGAGAAAATTTAGCCTAACTTCAAAGAGTCCTCCCCGTGAGATACTCCCCAGAACATCTGCTGAGGATGTGACAACATGAATTTCCTCGTTATCAGGGTTCCTAGATTGGGTTGTATTTTCCAAGGTTTTCCCAGGCGCCTTGGCACCACCTGCATAGAGGAGTGAATGTGTTAAGTCTAAGGTTCAAAGAGTGAAAAGGAATGTCTCAGGAACCTCCTAATCAGGAAGGGATTGGAGAGCCGTACCACTTAATCATTGAGCCCTTTCGGGTAAAAGCCTGGGCAGAGGTCAAACTCTGCCTTGGATCTTAAACCCTTCTCAGACTCTTAAGATCGGCCCTCAAGAGACTGTGGACATAGTCTTATTTGGGTAATATTCATTCAGTTTGTCTCAAAGGATAGTGGTATTTCCCTCCTAGTTGTTGCCCTCTATTTGTGAACCTTTCAAAACAAACATAATGAACAAAAACTTTGCCTTTGGATCCCACATGGTTGACTATTGTCATTTCTGCTTCACTGTTGTGTTTACATTTTTATTCAGATAAGTTTTATTGATGCCTGTTGTTTTTAATCATAATGCTTTCTGAATATATACATCTTCCTCATAACAGTTAAATAAAACCGGCCTGCAGAGTGACCCATCTGATAGTGTATGGCTGAAGGTCATTTCTCTGCTTCTCTTCTCCGAGTCTGTGATGATTCTTAGTGTTTGGATCCATTTGTCTGCTCTGCATATAATTCTGCAAGTGTGCACTTTTGAATAAGGGATCTGAAGCAAAACCCTTCTAACTTGTTCTTCTTTGACGTCTTTGGATTTTTTATTAAGTTGCAGTGCTATATAGGTTCATTCTCCTATTGCACATTTGGATCATGGAAAGCATTTTTAAAAAAATATAATTAACATGAAAATAGACTCAAAGCTGTAACTGGTATGAGGAAAAGGTAGTGGATTTCTCTCCTGTAGTAATGTTCATTTTCTGTATGATCACTTAGACGTTTAAATACTACCCAGCTGAGTATAAATCTTGCATAGACTTAATCTTTTTTTTATTGTAAAATGAGTATTCTTATTTCTACAGAAATGAAGAGTAAATAGTAAAGTAATCATCTGTGACCCTTGGGGAATTTAGAGATATAAAATTTAGTTGCTCAGGAAGAGAGGAAAGACCCTTGTTCCCTTGAAATATTTGAGATCCAACTGAATAAAGTAAGATCTTACTTTATTTAAAGGAATATTTCCTCATTGAAAAAATTCTCAGGGCCGCTAGGTGGCGCAGTGGATAGAGCACTGGCCCTGGAGTCAGGAGGACTTGAGTTTAAATCCGGCCTCAGACGCATAATATTCACTGACCACACCAAAAGAACTGGACATCAGTGGTTCAGAGTGAGTTAGGAGGGAGTGAGTTCTGAGGTTAGGAGGGAATTGAATGTGCCTAACCCTTCCACTTGCTATTACTCTAGGATTAGGAGAGGGGCCCAGTGAAGCTAGCAGCTGGGCCAGTATGGAAGAGGTGAAAAGTCAATACGTCAGGGTTCTTCTGCCAAGTAGTAGATAGTAAGATAGCGTGCCTGCTTCTGTATCCCATCCCTTAATGAAAAAACACCTACCACATAGTTAAATAATCCCCTTTTTTCTGTGCTTTCACTCTCTACTGCCATCCTATTTTATTTTGTATCAGAGTTCTTCTCTTCTAGAGCATAATCCAATAGCTTCTCTCTGGTTCTTTGCCATTTGAAAAGTTCCTTCTTGTGTCTTCTTTCTCAGTCCTTCCTATCCTATTTTCTTGTTCAGCTTAATTTCTGGAGGGAAGTTACACAGAAGTGCTTTGAGGAGTCATGGGTGTGCAAAGACCTAAAGTAACATTCAGTTCATATTTTAGAGGAAATGTGGGCTCTGATCCCAGTGCAATGGAAAGAGTGCTGGATTTGAAATCAGCAGGGCTTAAATTTGGGTTTGAATCCTGGTTCTAATACCCCCTACTCTTGTGACCTTCAGCATGTCACTAAACCTTTTGGCCCTCAGTTGCAAAAGGACAGGCTTGGACTAGATGTCTTTTAAATTCCCCTTCATCATTACATCTTTCATCCTTAAAGTCTCCTGGACATTTCATCTCTGGGTCTATGTTAGGAACCCTGAGAAGCACAATGAGATGGATAGAGGTAGGAAATGTAAAGCAAGACAAATTAAAGGTTTTTCTCTTTTCAGTTTCTCCTTCTCTCTTTAAAGTTGCTGGCCTTCAGTGGGAGAAATGAGAACAAAGTGCTAAGAGAAGGAGCAAGGGAAGTTCTGTGACTTCTTCAAACACGACCTTAACTTCCCTAGCTTGGGTTTTCTAATTTGTAAAATATGGGCATGTCAAACTAAATTATTTCTAAGACTTTTTACAGCTCCAAGATGCTGTATTATTCATGTGGATGGTGGATATTCTAAATGCAAGGCCTTTTTTAATACATTTTTTAAAAATCTTGTTCAGTAATGTGGTATATAACTAAGCATTAATACTAAAAACTTAAAGTAATAATTAGAGATGACAGGTTAGTGAGAAACTGTGTAAGTTTTGTTCAAATTTAAGTTGTCTCTTTTAAAAAATTTTCTCCCACCTACCCACCCCCCAAAAAATCTTAGACTGGAAGAGGAAGCTAAATTTTACTTATTTTTTTTTTAGCAATAGTTTATTAAAACTCAAGAATATTTGCTAATGATTCTGTTATTTTAAAATTTTTAATTTATAGACCATTAAAATGGTTTTTGTTTTAATGTCTGGTGTAATCTTTTACTGTTATGACTAAAATAAATATTTCATGTTATTTATTAACTTTTATGGTTTACTATATTGGCTATAAAACTCTTATGTCTAGTGCAGGCTTAGAAGTTTGTAAACCAGTGTTCTGATACCTCTTGGGATATTTATGGGAGTAGGAAGAACTTGAATTATAGAAGTGGTACCTTGGGGTGAAGGGAGGGGATCCCCCCACGGGCTACTTTGGATTAAGCATTTGTATCATCTTGGCATCAGTGCTGTAGTTCGTTATCTACTGTTTTATGGTAGTCTTTTTCATTCCTTCTTCTTATTTACTATTGTTTCCTGGCAAAATCATCCATTAAAGACCTTAGTGTAGTTACCCTGGGTTCTTAAAGTTGATGACAGTAAGCCAGTAAGCTCTGATAGATCCTACCCAAGTTGGAAAAGCTTTGAGTATGTATCCAATGATGCACTGTATGCCTGATCTGAGTACTAATTTAAGTAAGTTTGGAAAGGCTTATCACCAGGTTGGCCACATATTAATTTTTTGGCCACTTCCACCCTCAAAGATGATCTATTGATGTAGTAATTTACACAGTTCAGGTTCTTAAAGTATTTAGGAGAAATATTTTACAGAAAATCACTTTCTTAGGGGAGCATAACTTTGGACAAGTCTACTTATTTTATTTTTATTTTTATTTTTTTGATGAGGCAGTGGGGTTAAGTGACTTGCCCAGGGGTCACACCGCTGGTAAGTGTTATGTGTCTGAGGCCGGATTTGAACTCAGATTCTCCTGACTCTGAGGCAGGAGCTCTATCCACTGTACCACCTAACTTGCCCCTAAGTCTACTTATTTTAATTAACAGTTTTTAACGGGAATGTTGTTTGTTTTCTTTTACCTCCTGTTTTATAACATTAAATGTTTGAACATAATTGCCATGTTTTTATTTAATTTCAGGGATCCTTCCAAAGTCAGTATTCTGGTACCTGGTGCTGGACTAGGAAGATTGGCCTGGGAAATAGCTATGCTAGGTTATGCTTGCCAAGGAAATGAATGGAGTTTTTTTATGCTCTTTTCTTCCAATTTTGTACTCAACAGGTATTTATATTTACTTTCTATTTAGGATGTAAAATTCCCAGAGAAGAATTACATTTTGCTTGCTTATGTGAACTTTCATGTATATTTTTGGTGTTCTTTATTTTAAAATCACTCTGCATATAAAAGTAACTTTTTTACCTACACATTTATGTACCTAAATGTTGGGGCAGAATAAAAAACTGTAAAGAAATGAATGGGATCATAGATCTGGAAGAGACCATAGATCATTGTGTCTAATGCCATTCCCTTTGCAATTGAGGAAATTGAAATTTGGAGAGTTTAAATGACTTGCCCATGTTCATATGGGTAGTAACTTAGCAGAGTTGGGATTTAAACACTAGTCCTCTGACTTCAGGTCCTATAAGCAAGCTTTTATTCAGAATAATTAAGACGACCTCTTTTTTTGCTTCAGAAATTAGCATGTTCTCACTGCTTCTGTGAAATTCCAGTGGTCCCTTGATTGTTCCTTTGCAGCATTGAAAAGCCCATGAGAAAAAAATCAAGGTCATTTAGGTGGTTCCCCAATCACAGAATTTCAGAATTAGAAGGGACCTTGGAAGCCATCTAGTCCAAGCAGTACCTGAAAAGGTGTTTCCCTCTACAACATACCTAATCAGGGGTCGTCATTTAGCCATTGCTTAAAGAACTTACATGAGAAGGCATACACACTACCTCTCCCAGTTGACTGGGTACATGTAATCAACATCACTTAATTGGGCAAACCCACCAGCCAAGAAAGGCATTAGAAATGCTGCTTTCTCTTCTGGAGCACTAGTAAGTGTTCAAGACTCAGTTAAGGAGGTTATTAATTAAAAATCTTGGAGTTCTGGAGGCAATCGCTAGTCTATTCTTTGCATCCCAGAAATTTGTCTTATTATGGATAATTGCTACCTTCTAAAGAAACAAGCTATGCTAACTTAGCCTAAAGGACAAAATATTGTGGTTGGAAAACAAAAAATATAGTAGAACTGTGAGAGTGTGTGGTATAGTAGATATAGGGATGGACTTGGATTCAAGAAGACCTCCTCAGATATTTACTAGCAGGGTGACCATGGACCAGTCACTAAATGTCTCTGGGTCTTAGATCCATATGTTTAAAATGAGAGGATTACACTTGATGGCCTTTCCAACTCTTAATCTACAGTCCTATGGTCTTTCCATTTTCTTGGGTGGTCGTATTTCCATATTTGTAGTTCCTTAGTAGTAGTATAGTTTTCAGTAGATTTTTTTATGTTCTGTATTACATTTTAGAATAACTAACAATTTAGTGTAGAGAGCTCTGGATTTGGAGTCAAAGGAATTGAGCTTAAATCTTAGTGCTGCTCCTTGGCACCTGTGTGACCTTGGGCAATTAGTTATGCTGCAGTTGCTTCATTTAATAAGTTAGGGAGTATGACTTAAGTGGAGGAAGCTGGGTAGTTTGTGGATAGAGCTCTGAGCCTGGAGTCAGGAAGACCGAAATTCAAATCTGGCCTCAGGTGCTCACTAACAGTATGACCCTGGTCAATTCACTTGTTTGCTTTAATTCACTGGAAAAGGAGATGACAAGCCACTGCAGTATCTTTGCCAAGAAAACTCCCATACGGGGTCATGAAGAGTTAGCCATGACTGAACCACAATGACTTAAGTCCTTTCCAGTTCTACTTTGTTACAATTAAAACATATCTAATCAGAAACAATGTTTTAGCATTACATAATTCCTTGAGTAAAATATTTAGTTAAAATCAATTTGGTTTTCATGTTTTTGCAGATGCTCCGAAATTAACACGCATAAACTTTATCCTTGGATTCATCAATTTAGCAATAACAGAAGATCGGCTGATCAGATTCGACCAGTCTATTTTCCTGATGTTGATCCCCATAGTCTTCCTCCTGGTTCTAACTTTTCTATGACAGCAGGAGATTTTCAGGAGATATACTCAGAATGCAGTAAGTTCAAATCAAATAATTATAATAAATTATTTCCCTAATCTGAGTAAGATGAATCAGTATAAAGTTTAGAGCATTCCATTTGTTGTCAGAATTTAGCTCAGTAAGTGTTTTTACATTATTGTTTACAAGCAATTTTGCTAGACATAGTTGAATATGAAATAATAGAATAAAAAACATTCTCTGCTTTCAAGGAGCCCTATATCCAAGGTGTGTGTGGAGGTAAGAATGAACAAGGTATTTGAGGGATCATAGACCAGACCGTCTAGAGGAGTTGTTTTCTAATACAGTGTTAAATAACTTTGGGAAAAGGTAGGTTCGGGTCATATTGTGAGGGACGTTAACTTTCCTACTAAAGGAATTTTACTTTAAACTATTTACAGTAAGGAAGGATTAATAATTTTTGGGTAAGAATTCAATTTCATTGAAGAAATATTTATGAAATACCTACCATGTGCAAGGCAAAATACTAGGTGCGAGGTAGACGAAGACAAAAATAGAACAATTTCTGCCCCCAAGGAGCTTACATTCTCCTGAGAGGATACAAAGTAATTTGTGGAGAGGGGAAGAGCTTTAACAACTAGTCTTGGAGGAGAATAGGAATGGCCTTGTATACAAAGTGACAACTGAGCTGAGTCTTGAAAGGAACTAAAGATTCCAAAAAAGTCAGGTAGGAGAGCGTTCTGGAAAGGGAGGCATCTTCTGCAGTCATGGAAGCAAGAGAGGGAATGTCATGTATAGGAAACAACAAATAGGCCAGTTTGGCTAGAATGAATAGTATGTCAGGAGAGTACTGTGGAATTGGAAAGAGGCAAATTCTGAAGGGCTTGAAATGCCATATAGAGGGGCTTGTATTTTATTTTAGAGGCAATAGAGAGCCAGAAAAACTTCTTTAATAGGAAAGTGGCTTGTACTTTAGGAATCTCACTTTGTCAGCTGTGTGGAGGATGGATTGGAGAAAGGATACTGGAGGTAGTAAGGCCAGTTAGGAGGCTGTAGTAGTCCAGATAAAAGTTATAGCAAGTTCCTGAACTAGGTAGTGGCCTTGCACATAGTAAAAGGTCAAGAGGGGTAGGTGGAAAAGGTGCTGTGACAGTAGAATCAATAAGACCTGGCTACTGATTAGACACAGAGGGTCAAAGAGGTAAAATGCCCCTACTTATGCAGGAAGTCTTTCCAATCTCTCTTAATTCTAGTACCTTCTTACTGTTTGTTATTTTCTTTTTATCTTGTGTATAGCTTGTTTTTACGTAGGTCTTTGCATGTTGTCTCCCGCATTAGGTTGTGAGGTTTGTGAGAGCACAGATTAATATATAGTAGTCACTCAATGTATATTTATTGACAGACTGACTTGGAGTTCACAAACTTTGAAGACTGGAGGAATGGTAGTACTCTTAACAGAGATAAGAGCTGGGAAAGAAAGGTGGGTTTGAAATAGGGGTGGGGAGGGCTAATTAGTTCTGTTTGGGACTACCTGTGGGAAATCCAGATGGAAATGTCTGTCAAATAGTTGGTAATATAGGACTGGAACTCCAGAGTGAGGACTGGATATGTAGATTTGGGAGTCATCTCCATGTTTGTGATAATGGAATCTGTAATAGTTGATGAAATCTCCAAAGAACATATGGAGAGAAGCTAACCGGGGCCAGGACAGAGCTCTGAAGTACATGCATGCCTAGAGAATGGAATATAGCTGTGGCAGCAAAGAATAAAGGAGTGGCCAGACAAGAAGAGAACCAAAGGAGAGCAATGGCATGAAAACCCAGGGAGGGGACAGTACCCAGGAAAAAAGTACCCAGTGTCAGGAAGTATAACAAATGAGAAAAGGCCTTCAGCAGTTAGATTTTTTATAATCTTGGAGGAAATCATTTCAGTCCTGTGGAGGCACTGGCAGATTGAAAGAGTTGAGACTTTAGGAGGGGCTAGAGTGGGAGCAATGACTATAAAGAGCTTTTTCTAATTTGGTTGTAAAAGAAGATAGGGCCATGACAGAGAAAAAAGTCCATCAACAAGCATTTATACTGCCTACTGTGTGCCAGGCTCTGTACTAAGCTCTAGGGCTGCAAAAAGAAGCAAAAAACAGTACCTGCTCTCCAGGAACGCATAGTCTAATGAGGAAAACTCATGAAAACAAGATATATACAGGATGGAAAGGGGATAATCAGTAGGGGGAAGAAAGTAGCATAAAGGGAGATTAGGAAAGGCTGCCTGTAGAAGGTGGGATTTTAGTTGAAACTTGAAGGACTCGAGTGTAGAGATGAGAAGGGAGAGAATTCTAGGCAAGGCAGAAAGCCTGTGAAGATCCTGGGTGATGAAATGCCTTGTGTGAGGAACAGCAAAGATGACAATGTCACTGGATCACAAAGCATGTAGAGGTGAGTAAGGTATAAGAACACTGGAAAAGTAGGAAGGGATCAGGTTACAAAGGGCTTTGAATAATAAATAGGAGATTTTTATATTTGATCCTGGGGATAATAAGCCTCTGGGGAATGAATGGAAGAGTGATTTGATCAGATTTAAGTTTTAGGAAGATCACTTTGACCCCAGAGTGGAGAGTGGGCTGGACTGGAGAAAGACTTGAGGCCAGGAGACAAACTAGCAGGCTGTTTTCAGTGGTCTAGGTGTAGGGTGATGAAGGCCTTTACAGGGTAGTGGCAAGGTCAGAGAAAAGAATGGGGCATCAAAGAGATGTCACAAAGGTAAAATTAACAGGAAGGTGATGGAGTGAGGAGTCAAGTATGGTGCCTGAATGGTGAACCTGGGTGACTGGTAAGATGGTGGTGCCTTCAACAGTAATAGGGAAGTTTGGCAGAGGGGAGGTTTGGGGAGTGGACAGGAAATAATGAATGGAGTTTAAGGTGCCTATGGAACATCCAGTTGGAAATGTAAAACTGGCGATTAGGGCTGTATAAGTGTATAGAATCAGCAGCATAGAGGTAATAACTGAATCTGTGGGAGCCATTGAGATCACCAAGGGAAACAAGAGGCCGTAGAAGAGTCCTCCTCAGGGATGCCTATGTTAGGCAGGTATGGCAGGGGTGAATTATCTAGCAAAGGAGATGGAGAAGGAGCAGTTAGATAGGAGGAGAACCAGTGTAGTGTGGTGTCACAAAGATCTGAAAAGAAGAACTTACCAAAAGATGATCAACAAACAGTATCAAAGCTGCACAGAAGTCAAGAATGATGAGGAGTGAGGGGACAACATTAGATTTGGCCAGTAAGAGTTCCTTGGTAACTTTAGAGAGAGCAATTTCACTTGAATGATGAGATCAGAAGCCCGACCATAGAAAGTTAAGAGAGTTCAAGGAAAGAAAGTGGAAGGCTATGACAGTAGTTTGAGGAGGTAGCTGAGTTAAGAAGTGGATGTAAAGGGTGAGGGGCAAGTGTTAAGTAGCTGATTTAATATCTCTAAGGTTGTTTTGTTTTTTCAGCTCTAAAGTTCTATGATTCTATGTAAAGTTTGACAGTGAATTAGATGGTAACCAAAAAGACGAGTAGGATCACGTGAAAAAATTTTAAAATAGAGTATATCTGTGCATATCTGAAAGCAGAAGAGGAGTCAATATAGTAGATTACTTGTGGTATAAAGCAGGAAATACACTGTAAAAGGTACAAGAAGTCAACAAATGAGATTGAGGATACAGGTAGGAAGGTAAGCCTAAGAAAGGAGGATTGATTTTTCTCCCAGAAGCACGAATGGATCCACAGTTTGGAGATGCTAGTATTTATACTGATGTTGGAACTAAGAAATGGAAAAGAAAAGAGGATAAGGTAGTTTCCGGGAGAGGTAACTTTGTAAGAGCTAGAAGGGACCCAGGAATGGAGATGGTGATATTGGGACAAAGGTAGAACAGTAGTAAAGAAACTATTGGTAAATGAAGCTTTAGTGTAGCAGCAGCTCAGTGGGGTTGATCTGGGCTTTGTACCTGAAAAAGGAGAAGGGTAAGCCAGGGCAATTTAAGGGCAGAATCCAGAAAAGCCACTTGTCAGGTTTTGGGTGGTAGTAGAGCAAAAATCCTTTTAGATTTGGAACAAATGGTAGACTGGAGACCTTACTTCTTCAGTATCCAGGGAAGTTTAGCTCTAGCTCTAAATTGGGATAGAAATATGAGTGAACTCAGAAAAGGAAATGAAAAATATATATAAAAACTAGAACTGTGTTTAAACTCGTGCCAAACCAAATGAGAAAATGTGAGGGTATGTAATTTAATTTAATTTAATTTGTACTTTGTATTTTCACCTGGTAGCAAGACAGTTGTATACTTTAAACTGTTGTGCTGGGGAAGATGCAAGACCGTTTCGGAACATACTTCATAGTAGAGGTCAATTATCACTGATAGGGCACCAGTGTCAAACTCAAATCATTCTACATAGGGATTACTAAACTGTACATTGGGATTTGAAAACTATGTATCAACATTATCTATGTTCTGTTGTATTTGTATTTATTTTGTTAAATATTTGTTAATTACATTTTAACCAGTTGGAGCATTGGTAGGGGAGTGGAGTTAGCATGTTTCACACTTCTGATGTAGAGGATGATGCAAAGATGAATAAAATAATGCCCCTGTCCACAAAGATAAATTCATAGAACTGAAGAGTTGGAAGGGATATCAAAGGCCAACTAGTTCAATTTAATCAGCACAAATTTATTAATTACCTGTTTATTTGCAAAGCACTATATTATACTATGCATTATGGATGCGAATACAATGAATCATCCTGGAAAGCAATCCCTGTGGAGATGGAGCCTAGTCCAGAAAATCATTTTTTCATAACTGAAGTCCTTCACACTATCAAATGGTTCAGGATCAGAAATTTTAACAGATTAATAAATTGGGGCTCATAGTAGTTAAAGTGATTTGTCAGCCCAGCATCACACAGCTAATAAGGGGTACAGCGAGAGCTAGAACCTAGGCTTTCCAATTCCTACTCCATAGTCAGTTACATTATACCCAGTACTTGAGTTAATATTTAAGACTGTCCAAATAAAAATATAGCATTCTATTGGATCTGTTATTTTTAGGGGAGAAGTATTTTCCACCCAACTGGCCCTAAAATTTGGCCTGTGGAACATAACCTAAACTGTATACCATTTTTTAATATTATGCCCATACCATTCAGTTCTACCTTTCTCATTGATCTGAATTGATAGGTTCCTTATATACTATGCTATAGCCTTCTAAGAATGGAAGTCCATTGTCCTTGTGATATTTTTTGCCCGTTTTCACTCCTAATTATCAGAAGCAAAGCACATGAGTGTGTTTTCAAAATTGTTTCTGTTAATCTTCAATAAATGCATTATTACTTTGCAATCTCTCTGAAATCTGCTCTGAATCAGTTGTTAATCTTAGTATGAATCAGAATTTTAAATGTAAAATGTCACTTTTTCACCTTAACTAATTTTAAATAATGAAAAATGAATGGGTTAGAAAACAAATTTTTCCAGAATGGTATTTTAAGACTTCACTCACTGTACTTTCTAAAAATAATTTGCACATTGATTATCTTATCACAGCTCTAATGTCTCTATTACAGACTAATATCATTTATATTAATCATTTTGACACCTTGATTACAACAATGGTAAGATTTTAGCTTCAGTTGCCAAATACTGTCAATTCTGCCTTTATGATGTCTTTCACATATGTCCACTTCTTTCCTTTGATAATGCTATCATCCTGGTCCAGACATTCATCACCTCACACATGGACTGTTGCAGGTAGCCTCCTGGTTGGTCTCCCTGGCTCAGGTCTCTCCCCACTCCAGTACATCTTCCATTTAGCTGTCAAAATGATTTTCCTAAAGTTCAAGTCTGACCTGGTCACCTCCCTATTACTTGCAAAATCAAATATAAAATCCTCTAACTTTGAAAGCCATTTTTATGACCTGGTCCCTTTCTACCTTCCCAGGCTTCTTACACTTTACTCTCCTTCATGTACTCTGTGCCAGTGACACTGGCCTTCTTGCTGTTCTTCAAGACACTCTGTTTCCTGACTCTTGACATTATCACTGGCTGTCTGCCATCCCTGACACTCTCTCCCTCCTCAGCCCTGCCTCCCGGATTCTCTGGCTTCCATCAAGTCTCAGCTAAAGTTTCACTTTCCACAAGAATCATTTCCTGATTCCCCTCAATGCTAGTTCCTGCCATCTTTTGATTACCTCCTATTTATCTTGTATATATCTTGTTTGTATGTAGTTGTTCACGTGTTGTCTTCCCTCTAAGACTTTGAGCTTCTTAAAAGCAGGAAGTGTTTTTGTTTGTTTTTCTTTGTGTCCTCCTCTCTTAACACAGTGCCTAGCATGTAGTAGATATTTAATAAACAGTTGCTTACTTTCAATCCCCTTCTATTATATGAAGAATTAATAATTCTAGAAGAGATAATTTAATAATTGATTTTTTAAAATCTATAGTTTTACATAAACAAGACAAGTTCTGTGACTCAGTGTAGTAATTTGTGTTGGATTTTGGAAATGTGGTCTCAGACTGCCTCCCCTCGAAAGAGAAAATACTTAGGTTCTTGTCTCCTACAGGGCCAGACCCCTTGGTAAATCATATCCCTACTGATAGTATTTATCTCTCTTTCTTCCTTTTCTCCTTCCAATGGAAGGAGACTCCTGTTGGCGCTCCATGTTACTTAAAGGACTATGTGTCCCCAAAAGCTTCTATAAATCTTGGCAAGCCATGGTCTGGGTGTTTTTGCTCTTCTCTAAATGAATTTAAAATTGAGGGACACAGAGGGGATGCCAAATGCTTTGGTACATAATTATAGCCCTGCCTCCAGTCGTTATCCTTATTCCTCTGTGACTAATTAAAAAGTTGTGTCCTTGTTGGAGTAACTATAGCTGCTAGAGCAGTCCAAAGATTCCGGAAGTGCATAGTATGCAGACAAGATGCTTGGTAGTGCTGCCCTTTACTGAGCCTCCCACAGAGCAAGAAGGAGTCTCAAATACAGTTGATAATCCTTTCTTAAATCCTAAAACCATGATATTAGTATATATATTTCAAATGACTTGTGATTAATAAAATAAGTGGAAATCACTGCATTAGGTATTAATCTGATTAGATAAAACCTACAAATAATTTGATAAATACTTATCCTTATGAAGTTTCATCACCGTCAGTAGATCAATTCAGTGTTTTCTATGTATGTTATATTTGTCTGGCCTTTCTCCCACGCATTATCTACCCATTCCCTCATTCCCAAGCTCATCAGTTTGTGGAACTCCATTTTCATATTTTATAATCTATTTCAAGCTGATTGTATTGTCTCTTACTGATAGATATTTAGCCATGACCTTTTCTTCTCTTGCCAGGGCACGTCATACCCCAAGAGTTTGATTTTTCTTTTTTTGTTTTGGAATAGATACCTGGGATTGTATTGCTACTTGTTTCTTCATAGACACAGCCCATAATGTCATTGATTACATTGATACAATATGGAAAATACTGAAACCAGGAGGAATTTGGATAAACCTGGGTAAGTTGTACTGTGTCCATAGCCTTTTATGGATTGTCGCACACCATGTTATATTGGATAAAGTGCTAGATTTGGATTTAAGAGGATCTGGGTTTGAGTTCTATCATTGCTACTTAACTAGCTGTGTCACTGGGGCAAAGGTTATTTAAACCTTCTAAGCTCAAGTTTCTTCATCTTTAAAATGAGGATAATAATCCTACAGTACTACCTTACAGCGTTGTTTTTAGGGGAACGCCTTGTAAGCTGCAAAGGACAATATTTGAGCTGCTGTTCTTAGTACACTTTTTTCCTAATTTTGTTTCATGAAACTTAATACCTTAAACTTTGTGTCTAATCATATTATGTTGTTTTTATTTAAGACTATAATTTTGCTTATCCGGCAAACCTCCAATTTTTACCAGCCTTCTCTAAACATATCTACAAAAGCTGGATGAAGAACATTAATATCCTGAGAAATTGTATGGTGATATTAATACATACCCAAGATAATCCGTTAGTAAGCTGTCTTTTGCATGGTTTGAAGCCATCTTAACTCTGTGAAATTACATGTGGAACTAACTCCTCATATTACAGTTCTGTCAATGAAAAGAGCACTGGACTCGGAAGCAGAACTGATTTCTAGTCTCAGCTTCATCACTCAGTAGCTGGGTGACCTCAAGCAGGTCATTTAATCCTCTCTCAGTCTCAATTTCCTCATCTTTGAAATGGGCATGATGACCTAATCTGCCTGATTCACAGGGATCTCGTCTGGATCTGATGAGTTCCTTATATAAAACGTAATTTTTGTACCTTTTTCCTTCCATGATTAGTCAGACATATTAAACACCAGATGAAAAAGAATGATTGAGAATGGGGATGGGGGTTCATAATACAATTTCTCCTTTTTAAAAAAAGTGGAATAATAAGTTGTCGGCTATTTCCTGGTCTATGGGAAGGGAATTTCTGTACCTAATCTTGATTTCCTCAGCCCTTAGAGTGGTATTAGTATTAATACTACAGCTACTTAGTGTGGGTCTCCCTAAGGGACTCTCTGTGCTCTGGTCTGTGAGGGACCACAAGCGCTCTTTTCTGCCCTGGAACTGTGAGGAGGGTTCCCTCAGTACTGCTGCCACAAGTTCTGCCATGCCAGTGCTCCTCCTTGCCTCAGGACTGGGACCCAGATACAAGTAAGGGCAAAGCTAGCCTCAGTGCTAGCAAAGAGACCCCTTTAATCTCTTGCTGACCAGTTGTTTGATCCCCTTACTCTCCGTGAGCTGAGAACTCCAGAAGCGGCTACTGCTGCCGCTGCCCTGGGGCTGTGCTGGGGCCAGGGCTAGACTTTGCTCCTCTCTCACCCAGGTCCGACAGACCTTTCCTACTGACCTTGTAAGTTGTCTTTGGCATTTGTGGGCTAAGAAGTGTGGAAACTGCCATTGCTGCCAGTGATTCAGTCCCCTGAGGCCGACTCCTGGTTTGCTGGGGCCTGGTCTATGCTGGCATGGTCTGTGCTGGATTGTGCTCCTCTCTCAGCCTGGTGCAACAGACCTTTCCTGTCGACCTTCCAGGTTGCCTTGGGCTAGAAATTTGTTTCACTCTGTCTTTTTGTGGGTTCTGCTGCTCTAGAATTTGTTTAGAGTCATTTTTTAAAGACATTTGGAGAGGTTTAGGGGAGAGCTCAAGCGAGTTTCTGCCTTTACTCTGCCATCTAACTCTGCCCTCCCAGTTTGGTTTAGTTCTTAAGGTGGGATCATTCATTTGAATGTCTAAATTCTGAAAAATTTGTTAACAAGGTGGTCTGATTATTTTGTTTAAAAATAGACAGGCACTAGGAAGGATTGAAGTGCGGGAGAAAATGGAGTCTAGTGACCTTCAAGAAAGAATTTTCACTAGAATGATAATAATGAAAGCCAAATTGCCAGTCAGGGCAAATAGATAATAAAAAATGTGAACAGAAAATATACATTAGTCATTCAAGATGTTTGGCAGTGAATACTACTTCTGTATTTCAAAGATCCATGATTTCATTCCCATGGTTATTGCCTCTACTGACTCAAATTGTAACTCTGCTAATTTATTTTTTTTATTTTTTCTTATTTGCTTTTTGGTGAGGCTATTGGGGTTAAGTGACTTGCCCAGGGTCACACAGCTAGTAAGTGTCAAGTGTCTGAGGCCGGATTTGAACTCAGGTCCTCCTGACTCCAAGGCCAGAGCTCTATCCACTGTGCCACCAAGCTGCCCTTTTGTATATGACCTTTGAAAGTTTCTATGGCCAAAAAAAGTCAGTCCCTTGCAACTACCTTGGCCATAAGCCATTTTGAAGATCCTAGCTAGGCTGTTCCTTGGGTGACATTTATGGTTCATCACCTGACCCATGTTATACACCTTTCTTCTTTGGTATAGTGCCTGTGCTTCTCTGGCATGGCCTTTGAGAAGGCAAGCAGTGTCACTATACCATGATGAGGCAGAACAATAGGAATTCAACAATGAAAAAGAGAAAAATAGAATTGTAGGTGAAGGTGGGCCTAAAAGGTTAAAGTTATATTTAATTTTATTTTCTATTAGGAGAGAATTGCATATATGAAGGCAAGAAAAAGAAGTCTAGTGAGTGGAGGGGGAGAAAATAAAAAATGCTTTAAAAAAAAGATAACTATAGAAGCATTATGTTTTCAGATATTGAAATAGATGGAATCTAAGGAGTAAGGAGAGATTTTTAAAGAGGACAAGGAAATACCTGGCCAGCCCTCCCTGCTCCCTTATAGCTAAAAGTATAGAAATCTTGATAAGTGTAGAAGTCTTGATGAGAATTAATACTGAAGAAGGTCAGGAGGGGAGGAAAGTTGGTAGTGTTGTTGAGAGCAGCCTTGAAGTAATCAATTTGTGAAGTCTATTATAGTTAAAAAGGGGATTAATGGATTAGGTGAGATTATAAGGAATCACGTAAGATAACATTTTGTTTAAAGCAGTTTATTAAGTTTGGATTAGTAACAATAATAGACTACTTTCCCTTCTGATAAATTGAACAGTAACAACAGTGGAATAAAAAACCTTCAAAATTTTTAGGACAGGAGGGAGGGAAGAGAATGGGAGTGGTAGTTTCAGAACATGGTTTGCACGATTAGAAATATTTTGAAATTATGTAGACCTAATATTCATAATAGTGTACTTTTAAGCTCTTATGAGCCAACTAGATGGTCTTCATTAATCAAAATTACTTAAATCATGCTGTTTTTCCAGTCCTTTTTGTTTTCAATTAACTTCACTATGCCTGTGTCCAAAAAAGTAGAAAGTACATTCCATTCTTATCATGAAGCTATTTGTTCTTTTTAGCCCTTATTATCTTCAGATTTTTAACCTAATAAAACATTTAATTTCTTGTTAGTAGCTAAACTATCATAATCCTATGCGAGGTGCTGTTTCAGCTTCTGTTTTTATAGAATGGTAATGTGCTGGTAATGTGCATGTTTACCAATCAGGTAACTGATTCATTTTATTTTAAAAACATAGGTCCTTTACTGTATCACTTTGAAAATCTGGCAAATGAACTTTCCATTGAATTGAGCTATGAGGATATAAAAAATGTTGTTCTCCAATATGGATTCCATATAGAGGTAAGGATGGAATACAGATTAAGAACTGTTAATGCTTATAAAATTTAGTTTGTAAAGTAATTAAAGGCAAAGAGTATGTGTTAGGGAGTAACAGGAAAATCTTTTTTCTAAATAATATTTTTTCTTCAATTACATGTAAAAACAATTTTTAACACTTTTTTTATTTTGAGTTCCAAATTCTATCCCTCCCATATCCCCTCCCTGAAATGGTAAGCAATTTGATATGGTACTTATGCAGTCATGTAAGACATATTTCCATATGAGTCATTTTGTGGAAGAAAATTTGAACCCCCCCCCAAAAAAAAAGAAAGTGAAAAATGGTATTCTTCAATCTTTATTCCGACTCCATCAGTTTTTTCTTCAGAGTCAGATAGCATTAAGTAGAATTGCAGGGCATTTTTCTTTTTCTTTTCTATTTATTTTGATTTATCAACAATTACTTCCATAAGCTTTTGAGTTTTAAATTTTTCTCCCTCTTCCTCCCCATCTCTTTCCCCAAGACGGCACGCAGTCTGATATACGCTGTACATATACATTCCTATTAAACATATTTTCACATTAGTCATGTTGTAAGGAAGAATTAGAACCAATAGAAGGAACCACAAGAAAGAGGAAACAAAGCAAAACAGGAAAAAAAAATTGCAAATAGTATGCTTCGATCTGTGTTCAAACTCCATAGTTCTTGCTTTGGATGTGGACAGCATTTTCCATCATGAGACTTTTGGAGATGTCTTAGATCCTTGTATTGCTGAAAGGAGTTAAGTCTATCAAAGTTAATCATCGCACAGTGTGGCTGTTACTATGTCCAACGTTCTCCTGGTTCTGCTCACTTCACTCAGCATCAGTCCATACAAGTCTTTCCAGGTTTTTCTGAAGTCCGTGCAGGTCATTTTTCAAGGATGTTAACAAATTATGTGCAAATTATGTTCCTAATTACAAATAGATATTGCCTTTTCATTAAAAGCAAGACCTCCACTTTGAACTTGAATGCCATTTTTGTTCGTTATTTTGTGTATTTGAAACTGCATTTTTCCTTTCATTTTATAAAATTATAACTCAGAGAGTTTAAGCTAATTTAAATGTCTTTCCCCCAGTTATCCTTAAATTGTAAGGCTTTAAAATTCTCTGTTGAATTTGGAGCCATACAGAATTTGAAAGCGTGGAACCTGTGCAAGATAAATGAGATATTTAGCATCAAAAACATTGTAACAGTGTCATTTTCTACTGCAGGTAGAACAAGAATCTGTGTTGTCCACATACACTGTGAACGATCTCTCTATGATGAAATACTACTATGAATGTGTGCTGTTTGTGGTTCGTAAACCGCAGTAATTGTCTCCTGTGAGCTCTTCAGGAAAAAAATGATTAATGGAGAAAATGTTGAAACAAACAACACAAAATCAGCTATGGGTGGTGACAGGACACAACCTCAAATCAGTGGTGCCTTCTTTATTCCTAACAGGATTTAGATATAGTGTCTATTTTCTTAATATATGTCTGTTATTATCCAGACATGTACTATGCCATGCATATTTGTACTATACGAATGAGTGAAAGTGAAAGGAAGATCTTCAAATGTACTTTTCCCTTGAAGTGCAGAACTGTTTGTCTCAAGTAGAAAAACTATCCTTCTTTGTCTTTCTGAGGCTGCCCTATTGTAAGACTGCTGCACTGATGACTCAGTAGTATTGAAATCCTAATACACTCTTGGCCTTGTTATAAACATGTACACATTCAGTTCAATAAATGTCTAAACCATCTTCATCTCTTAAATGAAAATTTTTCTCAATTTGGATGTGAGGCAGAATATCTAATGAGTTTCTTTTATCATTAAAATTAGTTGAGCATTTCATTTCCACAGTTCAACTTGATTTTGAGTAGTATTTAAATTTTTTTCATAAAACACTGAATTGGGTCATCAACAGATAATGCATTTAAGTATCAGTGAATTTTGCTGAATCTTTTGGTCATACTAAACAGATTTCTTAAAAATGCTAGTCATTGGGTTGTTTTGAAACATTTGACAAGACCTCAGAGACTGAAATGAGGCATAAAGCCCTGTCTTTAAAATGTAATAAATTTGAAAAATGGGAATAAGACTTTGCCCACTTATTACTTAAGACTTCAAGCTATAGTCATGTGGAATTCATCAGTGTAAATGTTTACGTAATGTTTTTTTCTTTAGCTAGGTTATCTGAATTACTAATAACCAGGCATTATTCTGTTTAGAATAACTACACACTAAGATAAAAATAATTACACAGTAAAATCTGTACCATGGTAACAAACGTGTGGTGTGATGTGAGAAAATTGTGAATGTGAAAATCAGGGTTATATTCTGCCTATAGTATACACCTTAAATATTGTTAGCAACAGCTACTAATGTAATTTTGGGTTAAGCAGGTCAGTTCTAATGATTGTTAGCGGCTTTAAATTTCTACCTCTAGTAGTTCCTTTTTTGGAGGACGTTTGCTTTGTGGAAATTGTAATTTGTAAGACTATCGCTTCCACACTTTAAAATGTATAGAGGGGAGGAATTGCTCTTGTTGAATAATTTCACAGGTTACAATGTATTGTATCAAAAAACTTGTGAAATGTATTAGATAAGTCTATTGATTATAATAATGTGCTGATAAAATTACACTTATCGGTAAGAAAAATTCTGGGAAATCTTTAGTTAGGTGTTTGTTTTCAATGAAGTTAGGAAGTCATAACTCCATTAAGGTGTCTTATGACCCCATTCACTACTTTCCTCTACTAGCATATTTTTAATAGGGCTTCTGTGACCTTGACTACAATGGAAGTAAGAAAAATCCCCTGAATTGCCTTATTCATTGGAATATGAGACTTGTAAAGACTTTACCTTATTGAACCATTTTTTCTCTTTTTGATCCCTGGGTACTTGCAGTATTGATGCAGAACACCATAAATCATTACCTCCACAAACTAATTTGAACTTATTTTCAAGGAACAAAAAAGCCAGAAATTTTAGAAAAGAAAAAGGAAGTTTGAAAGGAGCTTACATGACAAAATCCTTTGAAAAGTTGGAGCATGCCAAATGGGGATAATTTTAAAATACTTTACTTATATAAGCAATTTACTGGTATTTACTTCATTTTCGTACACTTGGGTCAGAACAGTTGATGATCCTTAATTAAAGCAGGAATATATCAGCATGTGTGAGTCAGCTTTATTACTGAACTACCTTTTGTCTATTTTCTGCATCTAACATATAATAATGTAACATACTTCCTAATTATATATGTAGTGTTTAGTTGGTTAAATTCAGAACCAGTTGTTTCATTTTATTTTTCCTTTTCCCTTCACAGTCTCTTTTTTCCATTCTATAATGCACATTTTTATTTGTCTTTTAAATATTTGCATCTGAAATATTCTAAACTTGAAGAGGTGGCTTAGATCAATAAAAGGGCTCCAGTGGAGGGTATGATTTAGTATTTCTTATATTTAATTACCCCTTTTCACTAAATTGCATGTTCTTCATTGTTACTTTCTGAAGTGTTCTGTATGCACAAGCATTTTCATTCATGTTTTAATAAAAGGGAAATAAGCATGTATTTTTGCTTAATTTTTCTTGCCATAATCTAAAACAGCACAGGTTGATGAAGTGTGCAAGATGGAAAGTGTAAAATACAAAGAAAAGATGTATAAATCATAGTATAAAACTTCAAATGAAGTTGTTTGGCAACTATAAAATATACTGTATTGATATGTAATCTTCATTCTAAAGCAGCTAAAATTGCTGAATTGGAAGCTTCATGTCTGCATGAACTTTCCTATATTTTTAATTGTGTATGATGGACTTAATTTTTCTTGGACATTAAAATCTGCAATTGCTATGAAATTATATGAGCTTGATCATTTGCTTCCAGGTAATGGGGTCAGTGTAAGGAAAATGGGATTTGCAGTCTGAGGACCTGGGTTCAGATCCTACCTTTGCTACTTACTTGTGTGACCTTGGGCAAGTCATTCAACCTCTCCAGGCCTCAGTTCCCTCTTATGTAAAATGAAGATTTTGAATTAAATTACTTCTAAGGTTTTTTACAGCTCTAATTATTTGAACCAACAAGGTTCGTAATCACTACATAGCTAATGGTTTTGATGCAGGAACTAGAGGCAGCATGATAAAGAAGAAAGTGAATTGATCTTGGTGTAGAGAGACTTGGATTCTAGCTTTGACTCTGCCACAAACTCACTGGGTAACTTGGTAAATCACTCGATCCTTGGTTCTTTCACATGAAGAAATTAGAGCAAACTCTTTTTAGCTCCAAAATTTTATGATTCTTTGATATATACTTAGTGGCTCTTAAGAAGGCCTCTAAGAGTCTATTCTTGTTTTTATGTATAGCCTTCCAGAACCTTGAAACTATTACAAATGTATGAAATTGAACAAAAGGATAAACTGAGGGCATTCTCTGAGCAAGATAACATTTATTAACAGAGGCATACTTGAGGCAAAAATAGATCAGTGCTTAATAGGAGAGCTGGATTTCTAAACTTCACCCATTACAGGCCAGCTGAATCTCAACTGGTTTCTGAGACAGAGAGCCATGACACAATTGTAGGACAAAAGCAGTTACAGAAAAAAATCAGTTACTTTAAACAGAATTGATCTTAATTTTCTCAATTCGTCTCTTTGATCAAGGAAAGATAAATATCTCTCATAGCTCACATCTATTAAAAAATCCATTAAGATCTTTACACATAATCATTATCAACAATAGGGTGCACTAGCACAAATTTTTCCAGTGGAAGTTACTCATCTCAAAGATAACTGATAACACTGAAATTCTTTTCCTTAAAACAAAACTGAAGGTGTTTCTGATTTACCCTTACTGAGTAACAGACTCATACCTTGGTCCCACAAATTCCTGCAGCATTGTCTAATATCATATATCTAATATCATCATCCTGGAAATTTAAAAACCTTATACACAAATATGTAACTATAAACAGGCAGATGACAAGCCCAAATACCCTTTACTTAGTTGTCTGTAGATTGAAAGCAGCAAGATCTGATATGCTTGAATCCTATAGCAGTGCAGAAGGGCTAAAATATTGCATCAACAAGACTCATTTAAAAAACAACAACATGGATCAGCTTGCCCTGATCCAAGAGATTTGCTGTGAAAGGAAGAAGCAGGTTGGGACCACTATAGCAGCATCAATACTGGTCCTCCAGGCTTAAGCCCAAGGGCACACACTGACTCAACACTTGTATAATAGGATAAAGCATTCTTAATTCCATTTGCTTTCAGGTAAGAAGAGCATACACAGCCAAGTATATGACAGGATACCGCAGACAGGCGTAGAATTAACAGGTGGGAAGATTTCTTGAATGGGAAACTGAGTCAAGAGGGTACCACCTTAGTCTTCACGAAGTCATCTTCCCAACTTTGTTCCCAGGGACAGATACCCACTGGCCATGGATCACAGACCTCATTCCCATTGAGCCGCTGGTGTTTTTTTTTTTCTTGAAGCATTGAAACATTGGCTTAAAGACACAGCAAACCTGAAAACGAAGCTCAAAAAAAAAATTCATCCCCTCTTTCCTATAGAGAGGACTACTTCAATATCCTTCTCACCCAATCTCCCTGCCTCGAGTCTCTCACCATTCCAATTCATCCTTCATTCAGCTGCCAAGGTGATTTTTCTAAAGTGTAGGTCTGACCATACCACACCTCCCTCCCTCACCCCCCTTTCTCCAAATTCAGACAGCTCTAGTGGCCCCCAGGATCCAGTAAAGTGGCATCTACACCTCTCCATAACCTGGCCCCTTTTCTGCCTTTCCAACCTTCCTACACGTGATTCCCATATGCTGTGCAATCCAGTTATGCCAGCTTACTTGCAGTTCCTTGAACATGACTCTCCTTTCTCTGTGCTTTAGCAATGGCTGTCCCCCAGGCCTAGACGGTTTCGCCCCCTCACTCTGGCTTCCTTCAAGGGTCAGCTCAAAACCTACCTTCTGTAGGAGGCTACTGCTTCTCATCTGATTCCACTAGTGTTTTCCCTCCAAGATTACCTTCCATTTATGCTCATATACCGTGTGTGTGTGTGTACACATATATGTCTCCCCCATTAGGGAGCAACTAGGCACAGTGGGCATGGAGTCAGGAAGATTCATCATCCTGAGTTCAAATCTGGCTTCAGACACTAGCTGTGTGACCCTGGGCAAGTCACTTAACACTTTTTGCCTCTGTTTCCTCATCTGTAAAATCAGCTGGAAAAGGAAATGGCAAACCACCAAAGTATCTTTGCCAAGAAAACCCCAAATGGGGTCACAAAGAGTTGGACCTGACTGAAATGATTAAATAACTCCCCCATTAGAATGTGAGTTGCTTGAGGACCATGTTTTTGCTTTTCTCTGTATCCCAAGCAGTTAGCAATGTGTGACACATAGTAAAACATTTAATGTTTGTTGACCTGAAATGGTTGGTTCTGTATAATTTTTTTTATTGATTCCATTTACAATTACGTGATTTTGTCCTATAGCTGCATTTGTCCTGTTACTGCTTAAGTCCTGGTTCTTTATCTCTGATCTTAGTTAAGAATTCAGTTGACCTGTAAGGGGTTAAATTCCAATCATGGGTAGAACTGTGCTCAAAATCCTTGGAATGTTGTGAACCTTGGGGGGATGCATGGATAACAGGGAGTCTGGTCTAGTAACTTTTACACCACCAAGGCATCCTTCAAGGATGTTTGGTTTGCTGTCCAAAACGTTTGGACCATTGTCTTTTGAGCTTGCATCTGGACTCAAATATAAACACTTCTTAGTCATGGGGGTAAAGAGAGGACTGGGGGGGGAAAGAGGGAGTCAGCGCTAGTCTCTCATTTCCAACCAATCATATTGTTCCCCACATCTCATTTATGTAACCAATCATGTCCTCAACCCCATGATGTCACCTACCCTGTTCTGTTCTTTGTTTTGTGTTTCCCCAAACCTATAAAACTGTCGCCCTCATTTGAAGTCTTAACTTACTGAAGCAGCTGAGATCCTATTTATTGGTAGATTTGTGCTTTGCCAATAAATTTTACTTTATTTCAACTATTACAGACCTACTGACCATATCATATTCCTCTGTTCAAAATGATCTTCATTATTGCCTACCGCTAAAGTTCAAACACTTTTTTTGCCTGGAATTCAAAAGCTTTCCACAATCTGACAGTTTACCTTATCAGCCTTATCTTATTAATCCCCTCCAAGAACTTATGTGCAGCAGCCAAACTACTACTACTCCTACCTTCCTGAAAATGAATTGTACTCTTGCATTGACATCTTTGTACACATTCCCTGAAGCTCAAATGCCATTCTTCACTTGTTGAATTACTTTAAAGCCAACTCAAGTGCAATTTCTATGAAGTCCTTCCTCATCTTGCACATTTCCCTGGTTAGTGACCACCTTCAAATTTTACTCAACAAATTGCATAATTGGAAGAGAAGACGGGCTAGTGATGTGGTGAAAGTAACATGACAGGTGGACAACCAGTATTCCACTGATAGCCTCACTACTGAAGTTTTTGAGCAAAGTTTTTAGAGAGGGATGACTGGGAGCTGGAAAACTTAAGAGGCTATATTCCATTAGTCCAGGTGATAGAAGGTGGCCATGTGAGTGAAGAAGAGGATATGGAGGCAAGAGATGCTGTGAATGCAGAATTGACAAAAGATGGCAACTAATTGGATATGGAGTATGAGGGAAAGGAACAGTTGAGGATAACTGAGTTTAAGAACTTGTTTGGACTGGAAATATAGTAGTACCCTTGACAGAAGTACAGGATTTTGGAGAGGGAAAGGAGGTTTCATGGGAAAGGTGATGCATTCTGTTTTTAACATTGAGGTTAGGATGCTGATGAAATGCTTAAGTAAAGCGGTCCACTAGGTGATTGTTAATGTGGTTGGTGGTGATGTGGACATTTAATGAGTGCAAGTGATGTGGAAGTTACATGGAAATGACGATTGAACCTGTAGGAGCAGATGAGATCACTAAGGGAGGAGAGCCTAGGATAGCCTTCAGGTATACTCTTGTTTAGGGGATATGAGGTAGATAATGAACCAGCAAAAGAAACTGAATAGGGTCAGGTAGGAGAGGGTAATTAACTCTTGAAGAGTGGTCAACAATATCAAAATTGTGAGATCAAGGATAAGCTCTAAGAAAAGTACCTGAGGACCTCTGCTGGACAAGCCATACTTTCTCTCAATGAAAGCAGCTGATATACCTTAATGATAATGATAATTTTGTCTTTTAAAAGTGGAGGAAGCAACAAAGAGAATTCCCATTCCTGACATGGTTTTAACATGAAGGACAGGGTAAGAGTTTAGGAACAAGTGACCACTCCATCATGAAACTCACGATAGATAAGAAAAGGAAAATTAGATATAATTTGACATGAACCCTACATTTGGGAAAGGAAGATTACAAAGGATCTAGAGAAAGGATCAGCAGGGTCCAATGGCCTACTTGTTTTGCAGAGAAAGAGCCCAAAATTGTGCAAGTTCATACACTTTTACCCACAGATCCCACTACAAAGCATATCCCTCAAAAGGTTGACGCTAGAAAAAAAAGTCCTCTGTGTAACCAAATAGTTATAGTATCATACTGTGGAAGCAAGGCACTGGAAACAAAATGTGTCTGCTGATTAGGAGATGGCAGAACAAATTATTGTATGTGAATGTAATACAATATTATTGTGCAATAAGAAATGATAAATATGAAGAACTCAGAGAAACTTCAGAAGGTTTTGTATGAAATGATAGTTAAGATAGCAAAATAGAACAAAGGACAATACTTAGTGATAACACCAAAATGTAGCAAAATTCTGATGAATTGTAATGGTAATCCTGGTCCTGGA